AATAAATTACAGTTAATGAATACTATAGGAGATGCATTTTGATTGGCTCCAAGTTTGTGATCTGCTCATCCATAGCACATTGTTCAAGTGTGGTGAGGATATGACTGCCAAGCATATTGTTTTGTGTACGCAAGAATAAAATAATATTTTAGCCAGAATGAAAGGAGCATATACAGACAACAGATTAAATGTCCTATCAACTGAAGTATACATCCCTGATTAAACATTTAGTGACAGTATTTCATATACATTTTTACACAATTTTTATATTGAATAGAAGTTTCTAGCCAAAAATGCATTGTTGTTATGTTGAAAGACACAATTATTGTGTTTTTAGCTAAATATGTACGAAACCTGACATCTTGTGTTTTCACCAGTTTGAGGAAGGGACCTTCAAGTATGAGAAGCCATTTTTCAAGCTAACTGGGGAATCAGTACTTAGAGTTTAATTATTGTAGCCCACATGTTTACTGAGTAAACGAGAGTTATAAGACCTATAAGACTACTGTCATCACTGGAACAAATGCTACAGAATAATTTGAAAACATTGTCATCATTTAGACAAAGTCCATTTATTCTGATACTCTACATATATAATATTCCCCCCCAATGGTGTGAGAGGGAACATATTGAAGTTTAGCAGTCTCCCCTTAAAATTAAGCATAACAGATATATATTAAGTTATTGAGTACTACGATCAAGTACCATACTAGGTTAATAGACTTCAATAAAGAAAATAAAGGCTAGCCCCTGCCCTTTAAGAACCCACCATCAATGGTACAAGTGTAAGTAATTCCATACGATACAGTAGGGAAAGGCAAAGATAGAGATCTGCCCAGGGTGCTGTGATGTCAGCTGGACTGAGTATTAAAGGATCTAGCTGAATGAGAGAGCTGGTATATGTGCGCGTGTGTGCGTACATGCACACACAAGAGCAGCTGGGAACATTACTGGGTGAACGCAGGGAACAGCATGAACAAAGACCCAGAGGCCAGTATGCAGAACACTGCTGGTACTGCTGCTGCATGCAGTGCATTCGGATAATGCCAGAAGATGGGGGTAGGTGGAGGTGTGGGCCCGATTTTGGGAGTCTTGAATGCCGTGCTAATGAGCTTAAATTTTGCTTTTGCTGGTTTTATACTGCCTACCTATATTCTTAAACAGATAAGCATTTTGTCAAACTGTACTTTGCAAAGATTGAAAAAAGGCAAGTTATAATTTTGGTTGATTTGACCCTAGGAAAATGCCTTTTGTGGCTTATGTTATGTTTATTTGTTGCAGTTATTCTTTTATAACGTCTATCAAACTTTGATATAAGCTCAGGGTTTTCAGTTTGTCCAGTGCTTTCCTGAAACAGCAGGGCCGTGCCTGTGAGGTTTTGGAGCCTGCTAGAGTGGGCAGTATTTTAATGAAGAACCTTTGAAATCACAGGGCTTGAGGGAGTAATAGAAATCAGCTCCATATTCAGGTGACAGTAGTCATTTTCTTGCTCTGTTTCTCTGTGTGATGTGGTATATTCGTCGGGCTAACAGTCTTATTTGTTTGTTTGGAATTAGAATTTCAAGCATGGCAATTGTAGTATGTTAATTATTGTAAATTCTTCACAGTAGCTTTTTTATAAAGATTAATGTAACTAAGACAAAGAGAGTTGCTAATTTTTTTCTGAAAATTTTTGAGACATTTAAGGCTTTAACTTGACATTTTACACCTCTTACTTGGCACCTCGTCAACCATAATTATCAAACTGTTTACCCTCAGCAAAGCTTTTACGTATTTCTGTGTAGAATGAGTCAGAGAAGGTAAGTAATTATGCAAATTCATGGGGAGAATTTTTTTCTATAAATTAACTTGATATGCAGGTGAATGCTGTTTTACCCTAAATTTCCATAATAATGTAGTGGAAAGAACAGTGACTAGTCCCACCACTGGATACCTTACATGAGTTAGTTCATCTTTGTTTTCTCGCCTGTTAAGTAAGAGGGTTGAGGCAGGTTATCACTAAGCTCTTCTTACTGGCATCTTGTGGTTCTCTGACTACGTCAGTTCTCCAGGTTACTCTGCTTACACACGTGTGCCTTTCAGCATCCCTGAGTCACAGAACTGAGAAGAGCCTTAGGAGACCGTGTAGTCCAGCTGCCTCACAGAAGAGTGGAAATTTTCTCTTTCTCTTTACCTAGAACGTTTTGCCTGTACCTTCTCAAGCTGGCATCCTCTGAATCAGAGCTGGTTGTAAGATCTGTTACCCCGCTGGTTGCCAGGATTAATTCCATGGATCCGACAGATGGGCAAAGATTCCCTGCACTTCTCACTGTTCCATGTACATTCTTCCTATTGTGGGAAGCTCAGCTGTAAAGGGCAACCTGCCTACCTAGAAAAGGATCTGTCGTTGGTCCAGAGTATACTCTTTCCTATGGCTTATTCATCTTTGTATCAGTACTGTTTGAATGTTTATTAAATCACTCAATATTATAGGTGGCAGAAATGGTTAATGTTTGAATGTATGAGGAAAGTTTCACTAACTATTCAATAATAGTGAAAGATAGTCAGCAAATAATAGTAGAGATACCAGAATATTTTTACAATGATCTACAACTGAATGTAGTTACCATTGTAGAGAATATAATTTATAGATGTATTTTTTATTGAATAGTTCCTGATGATTTTTGTTTTATAAACCCATTCAGTAGAACTTGAAATATTACTT